TAATGGTGTTTTCTTTCGTTTTTTTTTTTAATTTTTATTTTGTTTTTTTGTGTTTGTAGTTGTTGGTAATGCGCTGATTCATTTGTCCAGCACTACGGAATTTGTTATGACGCGCATAAACTTACGTTACGCATAACGTTTAATGGATGGCATTATTAAACTTTCCGTCTTTGTGATATATTCATACAATATGGATTTGTTAATGTGTTCTTAATTTTTAAATGACCTTTGCGGAAGGTGTAATTTATAAAACCTTTGTTTAGCAATTTGACATACATACATACATACATATGTACATATGTGCAATGTATGCATGTTTATACTAACCTTTTACTTAAGTACAAATGCAGTACAATTATTGGTGTTTGAGTTGTAGTGATTTTGTCTTTGTATTGTTTTCAGGTTTCCCTAAAATTTAGCATTTGTTCTTTTTGTTTTTTTTTTTTCAAGTATACCATAGGTATGTACATATGTGTTGCTGCTGTTAGTTTAAATTTATAATTTATTTTTTCTACTTTAAAAACACACAATTTTGTGAAAAGTGCATATCATTTCATTCGAAATGCTACATTCAWATTAGTGATCCGAAAAACATAAAAATGCGTATTTAAGTACATAGTATGTACATATATGCCTACACATCTTACACAACCATATGTATAAGCTTATACATACACTTGTATATGTATGTATCAGCACACGGTGTTAGTTGTATTTTATAAAGTTATATTCTTTGTAATTACTTTGGCTCCAAAACCGTTTTATTCGTTCTCACAATTATTTCAAAACAAGTTTCGATATGTTTTCAGCTGCTGCTATAAATTGTTAATGTGTGTTTGTCAGTGAAATTGCAAAACAGCATAGTTCCCGGTTAAAAATACATTACATAGGCCTGTTCCATGACAACTCCATCTCTCTTCATTTAATTTATCTTGCAACATGGAATATCTGATATTATATAATGCTAATTTAAAATCTTTTAGGTAAACTAAATTATGTGCTGCTCTACCATAAATTCAAACTTGCTTTTGCCGTTTCCAACAGTGCACCAAAATAAYATTTCAAGTACGGTATGCCACTGTAATTATTTGTAAAGTATTCGTTTCAGTTTGATTAAAGATGGAAATTGCTAATCTATGTGATATTATGATGTTACTCAGTGGCCACAGCATTATGGATAGTTTTATATTTTATATTTTTTGGTTATAGACATTTTTTCATTTTCTCATCTCATTTTTAGTTTCCGCATAGYCCTTAGTAGTAGATTTAAAAATTTGACAATTTGTAAAAATATGCATTTTTACCAATAATTAAACAAATTTCGACGCAAATTTCAGATTTTAAAAATGTCAACGCAAAATTTTTCTGGCGCTTAGCCAAACCCAAGTGTTTTTTTTTGCACCTGATTATTGTGATATTCGAACGCAAACTCGGTGCTTTTTGTGACAATGTAGGAAATCTTGGCACTCGATTTTCGATAATGATAATTGTTCAATAACTCTTCATCGTTGACGCAGGTAATACACAAAACGCTATAAATGTGCTGTCTCATTAAAAAATAGAAAAATTAAAACACAAAAATTTTTGGTTCATTGTACAATTGTAAAATTGGAAAATTTTTACATATTGTACAACTTTTTATTTGTATATATTCGTTTTTTATTGTTTTTGTTTTTGGATGAATCGGTATTTAAAAGGAAAAAAAAAGTAACAGATTTTGATTTTTGGCAATTACTATTCGTTTGTGAGCTTCAAAAATTGGTGTTGAATTAATCGCATAGATTAAATAAAAAAAAAATTACAATTTATATATTTTTTGAATAATTTTACATTTTTTTTGGTTTTTTATTGCATAAAAATGTGCAATAAAATTTTTTATTTTCTCTTTTATTTTTTCATTTTCATTAAATAATTTCAGTTGTTACAATTTTGTTGTTTTGTTTTGCCATTTTTACACACATGATTTGTTTGTTTGTTTACATATAATGTCCACTGACAATCAGATTTAAATTTTCTTGTACAAATCTATTAAAAAGAAAATTTGAATTTTTAGGTTTGTAKTATGGATCTGCTGAATTATCATAACATTTGGATTTTTAGTAAATTTTCAAAACAAAAAACCACACATAAAAACAATATAAAGGAAAATTTACATGTGAAGCTAAAGATATATGAAAGTTTGCAATCAATAGTTAACTGTATGTTAAAATGTCTTATATTACAACCGAAATTAGAAAATTAAATATCTTTCATTTTTATATAATATGGAACAAAGATTAAAAGGTCCAATCGACCCAACTGTGATTTCATGATTGAAGCGATCTAAGTTCTAAATAATTTTATCACACAAAATTGCATATTTATATTTAACGTTATATTCCTCAAAACGTAAAGGGTGCGTGTAAGAGAACATTTTGCATTTAAACGAAGTTGAGACAAAGCGAAGGATATACATAATAAAATATTTGAAACGCATATGCGAAAAAACGCAATTTTATTTAATTTCGAAAGAATAATATATTRAATAACGTCTACACATTTTGAACTTAAATTGTATTATGCTGGCATTAACGCTTTCAAAAGTGTTACAATGTTTATCGCTCGCCGCTACTCAACTTACGT